AGGTGATGTTTGGTGGGATGTCAATCACCAGGCTTCCCCTCCAAGGGGCCTGTGAGCAGACCCAACCCCCTGGTCTTTGAGTTAACAGCCAAGGGCAAGCAAGCCCAAGAAGCAGCAGCTGCTCCTGCCACCCCAGACCATGCCACACTGCCACATAGTGCAGCTGGCGCAGAAGCTCCGTCTCAGGCCTCCGCCAGGGGTCACAGTGGGACAGGAAATGACCCCATCCCTGTGAGTTGGGAGTGGGAACAGCAGTGAAGAAGGAGACCATGTAGCCATGGCCATCCCCGTTGCCAGGGCTGCTGCGATGAGTGCATGCTGCGTGGCGGGGGCCTGAGCTAAGGGCTCCCATCTGTCCAGCGGGCAAGAGGTAGGCATTTTAGGCTGCTTGCCCAGAGAGAAGGCTCTGTCTCCACATGGCATCTTCTCCACCTTCCCCGCCCTGCTTCCTGGCTTCTATGCCCAGCCTATTCCTTTCCGATCTCACACGTAATGGGCTTAAAGCTGCACACCCTACACTGATGAGCTTGCTGCTGTGGGGTTGATTCTGACATGTGGCCACCCTGTGGGACAGGCTCGAGCTAGCTGCCCCCGTGGGTGCCCGAGAGTAACAGCACGGCAGCAGACAGCCCCCAAAGAGTGAGTGGTGGGTTTGAACTGCCAATCTTACAGTTAGTAGCCCAACCACTACTACACCAGGGCTTCCGTCATTATACCCACAGGTAGGGGACCACCCTGCCTCCCAGTGATGCGTGCTCTCGGTGTACAGGGGGAGCTGCCCCAGAGAGCATTCCAGGCAGAACCCTTCAGAAGCACATCTCCAGGGCTTCCTTCAGAAGGATCGAGGGGGATGTTTAAACTGCCAACCTTTGGCCTGGTGGTTGCTTAACCGTTTGCACCGCCCAGGTACTCCACCCTCAGGGTAGGGATTGACCACACACCAAGCGACTTTGGAAGTCCAAGTCCCTGAGCCTGCCCTGCAACCTCTTCTCGGGAGCTCAGCCCTTCAAGTCACAGGAGCCCTGGTGGTGTACTGGTTAAGCATTGGGCTGCCATCCACACGGTCAGCAGTTTGAAACCACCAGCATTGATGGCACTGAGTTGGTTCACTTGCCCTAAGGAGCTCTGGGAGCATGAAGATCAGCAGTTTGAGCCCACCAGCTGCTACTTGGAAGAGAGATGAGGCTGCCTGCGTCTGCCCAGATTCGGCGTGAAGATTTGCCGTCTGAGACACGCGCAGGGATGCCTTTGTGCTCTCAGGATTGGCTCCGTGACAGTGAGTTTGGAGCCGAGTCACGCCGCGGCCCCCTCCCCTGCCCCCCAGGCACTTCCTGGGCCCTGGGCTCCTCTCCAGGGGCACAGCAAGGATAGAGGCAGGGGCTTCCTAGAGGAGGTGGCCCTGGGCATACCTGGTAAGGAGGAGAAAAGAACAGGAAGGGCATTCTGAGAGGGTGAACAGTGACCCCCAAGGAGGAACTGGAGCCCAAGGGGCATGGGGGCAGATGGGGGCGCCCCAGACCTTCAGCAGGGTTGAAGGCC